AGTTTGGATTGTGGCATTTTGGGATTGCATCAATGCATCATTGCGCGCCATGTACTCCTTAAACATGTTCTCAAGACTAGTATTGTTATTATGAGTTGGTTGCGATGGGATTATTTGGTTCTAATTATACTGTTGTGGTGGTGGTGGCATCTGTTGATTGCTTGAAAAAGTAGGAGGGACATAGGGCTGCTTATATTGCTGGTTCTGCCCTTGGGTCGCTCCACTGGAACTTCCTTGACCTCCTCATGAAATGTTGGGATGATGTCTCCACCCCGAATTGTACGTGTTTGAATAGAGGTTGAAGTTTCGATTGTTCCCATGACCTACATAATAAACAAAAGCTGAATTATGCAGACAATTCTCATAAACATGGTTATCAGTACAATAAGAACAAACAATTTCATTAATTTGGCAAACAGGAGAAGCATATTCTAGTTGCACGGTTGTTGTTGGTGCACTCTTCCTTTCTAGGGCCAACTCCTTGACCATTTGGTTCATCGTCACTATTTCCTTCTGCATTGAAGTTACTATGTCCAACGCCAATACACCCGCTTGATCTTGCTTCTTAGGTGCAGGTTTCGACCTTTGAGAACACCATAGCTCATTGTGGGATGCTAGGTCCTCCAAAATATCAACTATTTCGTTGAAGGTTTTCTTCGTGAAAGCTCCATTTGCGGCGTTGTTGAGCATCATCTTAGTGGGGTGGTCCAAACCTCTGAAGAAATGCTCAATCTGGATACATGCTGGTAATCCATGGTTCGGACACTTTCGCAGCAACTCTTTGAATCTCTCCCATGCCTCGTGCACTGGTTCACGATCATATTGTCTAAAGGTGACAATCTCTTCGCTGATGTCAGCATGGCGAGTAGGAGGAAAATACTTTGTAAGGAACTTCTCTACTAGCGAATTCCATGTTGTAATTGATCCTGGCGGGAACAAGTTGAGCCATGTTCTTGCCCGATCCTTAAGAGAAAATGGGAAAAGAGTTAACCTTAATGCATCATCAGTTATATTTGGAAATCTAAATGCACCAGCTATTTGAAAAAAAGTTTTGAGATGATCATGAGGATCTTTGTGTTCACGCCCCCCGAACTGTCCTAATGTCTGAAGCATTTGAAACATAAGCGGCTTCAGTTCGAAGTTGGCGGCTTTTGGAATGGGATTTAGGATGAAAGAATCCAAATTCTGGAATGCTGTGGCAGCATATTCTCACATGGCTACGTCTCTATTATCTGCCATCAAGATATGATTGAACTCATTGTTTTGTTGTTGACCTGCCATATTTCCGTTAACAACTGGTGGATCTGCAGGATTTTGTGGTGGAATCTCGTCCATAAAAGTGATGGTACTTTCACTCTCGCTTTCGAAATATCTTTCTTTTTTTGCTTTTCTCTCTGTTTTCTGAGTCTCTGTTCTTTTCTCAACCTACGACAGGTTCTCTCAATTTCAAGATCAAATGGCAACAGAAATGAATCCGTGCTCATGCACTAATCAATGACCTTCGTGGTTGGATATAAATAAAAAATGTTGAAGAACAGAAATGACAATCACAAAAACCAATCACAAAAATTAATAAAAGACTAAAGTTTCCCTGGCAACGGCGCCAAAAACTTGTTTGGGTATTTTGGATTCAAAATAAATGAGAGCGCAAGTGTACACCCGTCACAAATAGTAAAAACGGAACGAGTATTCTGAGTATCGATTCTCAGGGACAAATGAAGTCTTTTTATAGGAAATGTTAATGATCGGTGACTTTGTAATTGAATTTTGGGTGACAAACAATAAGGATAATGTTGGTTTTGATATTTAAAAACTCAATGCAATAAACCCAGCCCAGTTACTTCAAATTAGCTAAAAATACACAAACTTTTTCCAACTAGGCGCCAGGCGGATCTCATAAATTTTCTTCGATTTTACTTCGCCATCTTCTTATGTCTAAGTGATTTTGAAGGTTTAAGTCCATTCCTAATATGTCTATTAGAAAAAAGAACTTAATTTAGTAAAAACCAACCGTAACCTCGCCTTAGGTCGAGGTCCTATGTCTAGGCTACCCGAGCAAAATCTTTATGTCTAAAGTATTCCTCTCTAAAGTTAAATCAGTAAAGTTGTGAAAATGTATCAACCCTTTCAGTATTGATGCTTGGTTAAAACATTAATTGGCCAAATCAAGTTTCAACTTATGGAAACAACTTTAAGTGATGAAAGAGGAGAAAAACGCCTTTTGCCTCGTTGGATTTTAAAAACTTTAACTAACTATCCATAACCGGGCTTGGGAAAATAAATTTAGCTCATGACGATTAAGGATAAACAGAATTTAATGTTAATGGAAGTAGACGACATGATTAAAAGATGAGTGGAATTAAAACAAGCTGGAAATTGTGGAGTTGTAACCCGAATGACCCTAACCCGTTCTCTTTCAAGATTGGGGAGTAATACTCGGTCGGTTCCTCAAGGTTGAGTGATTACAATTTCGTAATGAGAGATAGGGAAAGAAATGAATATCAAGAACTTGCTGGAATTTTAATTAAATAAAATCAAACTTACAATTCTAAAATAACAAGCTGTAAATAAAGGGTGAACTTGAAATAAGCAAGGTTAAAACAATAACAACTCAAAAACTTAAAGGGAAACGAAAACAAGCTGAGAAGTAAATGTCTAAAGCTGAAATGATCACTCTGGGATGATGAATGAAGAGAATAAGTTGCTGAATTTATAGGGACTTCAAGGTGGTTATGAGGTTGAGAGCTTTGTGGAGAGCCATCAATTTCAAACACCTTTTGGTTGGGTAGTTGTTGAATTGGCAACCTTTAATGCATGGACGACATGTGGCAGAGCTTGGGAAGGCTTCAAATCACACCAAAACGTACGTTTTACATTAAGGGCAATCTTGGGATTGGGGAAGGCACCAAGCGCCTAACTCGATATTTTTCTGCACAAAAGTGTAATTTTCTTTAGAAATCAACTCTAAATAATGTAAAAACATCCTATGTGCATGTATAACCCAAGATAACTTAAAATGAAAGGTTTTGGATACTATACTAAGCTTAAATCACGGTTTCCGAGTTTAAAACGTTAGAAAACAGCACACATTTAGCCTTTTTTTACTCTTATGAACAAGTGAAATCATGGAGGTTGCGATATATAGCCGTGGTGCCGTCGGCTATCCGATTTTCATTGGCTGCCTTGCTCGTGGGCAAGAGCAAGTGCCGCACAATCGCTTTGTGAGTCCTTTGAAAGGTGGGATTGTGACAGTTGGTATCAGAGCCTAGTTGGCTCCTCGGATCGAGATCAGTAATCATGTCGGTAGTGAAACAGTTGAACAAGACACATGTCGAACGACTCGTGGAAATTGAGGAATAGCTGTTGTTCCTTAGAGAAGTCCTTAATCATGTTCGGTTCCTAGAAAATCGGCTAGAAGAGGTGACTTGTAAGGCCGATGGAATCGATGCAGCAAACGCTTGAATTGACGCATTGCCAATGAAAGAGTTGTTAGTTAGGATTGAGACCCTAGAACGTAAAGCTGGGAAAACGGCTAGTTTCAAGCGAGGGAACAGCTCGACGAGCTGGGTTGCTCATGTAGAGGAGCGTGTCGAAGAGTTAGACAGCTCCCAGAAGGTGATCATGCAGACGGTCAGTGATCTTTCCGACGACTTTCGAGCTGCTATAGAAGTCGTGCGGGCAGAAATTAAAGAGATAAACACAAATGTGAACCTCACCATGAGAGTGGTGGGAAACCAAGGCCCAGAAGGGGGCAATGTCCAGTTTAACAAGGTGAAGATTCCGGAGCCTAAGCCCTTTGGCGGGGCTCGCGATGCCAAGGTCCTTGAGAATTTCATCTTTGACGTCGAACAATACTTTCAAGCTACAAGTACCACAACAGAAGAAGCAAAGATCACTTTGGCAACCATGCATCTAGCTGAAGATGCAAAGCTTTGGTGGAGGTCCAAGTATATGGACATCCAAGAGGGATGATGCACTAAAAACACATGGGACGAGTTGAGGAAAGCCCTCAAGGCGCAGTTTTTTCTGGAAAATGTTGAAATTCTAGCGAGACGTAAACTACGAGAGCTGCGACACACTGGGTATATCAGAGACTACGTAAAACAGTTTCCTGGACTGATGTTGGACATACGAGACATGTCAGAGAAAGACAAAGTCTTCTACTTCGTGAAAGGCTTGAAACCATGGGCCAAGTCCAAGTTGTACGACCAAGGGGTTCAAGACCTCGACTCTACTTATGCTGCGGCTAAACGCCTGTTTAATCTTGGTAACGAGCAGTCTTAGGATTACAGAAGGAACCAACCCTGATCGAGTAGTGGGAACAAAACCACCAGAACAAGCTCACCCAAAAGTGGGGGAGGAGATAGGAATGGAGGAACGGATTGCAGACCCTATCAGAGGGGTGGAATCAACTGGCGCGGGCCAAACCAACAGAACAACTTCAATCCAGGGCCCCTCGTTTGCTTTCTGTGTAAAGGGGCTCATCGCGTAAGCGACTGCCCACACCGAACTGCCCTGAAGGCACTCCAAGCTACCATAGCCAATGGCCCTAAGGTCGAGACAGAAACCGCTGAGATAGATGTACCGACCGAAGAGCCCACTGATAACCCCCGCATGGGGGCACTGAAATTCCTGTCGGCTCTCAAGAAGAAGGTGGGAGAAGCAAAAGAACCACTAGAGAGAGGGCTCATGTATGTGGACATGTTGGTTCACGATAAGGTTGCCAAGAGTATTATGGTGGATTCTGGAGCCACACACAACTTCATGACTGAAACCGAGGCTCGCCGTCTGAATCTACAATGGGATAAAGATCCAGGAAAGATAAAAGCAGTTAACTCCGCGACTCTCCCCATCGTAGGGATAGCAAAAAGGGTCCAACTGAAGATCGGAACATGGAGCGGCAAAGTGGACTTTGTAATTGTTAGAATGGATGACTTCGACGTCGTGCTCGGAATTGAATTCCTTCTAGAGCACAAAGTCATCCCCATGCCCCTAGCGAAGTGTCTAGTTGTTACTAGATCTGATCCCACCGTTGTTCCGACGAGTATAAAACAACCAAGTGGGGTCAAGATGATATCAGCTCTGCAGCTAAAAATGGGCCTTGCTCATGACGAACCAACATTTATGGCCATCCCAGTGATCGAATAAGAGAGTAGTAAAGAAGTAATTCCCAGTGAGATCCAGCAAGTCCTAGTTGACTATACAGACGTTATGCCTAACAGTCTGCCTAAGTCCCTACCGCCGCGTAGGGGAATTGACTACGAAATCGAGTTCGTCCCAAGGGCAAAACTGCCCGCTAAGAATGCCTACAGTATGGCCCCTCCTGAATTAGCCGAACTCAGGAAGCAGCTGGATGAATTGATTAATGCAGGATTCATCCGCCCAGCAAAGTCTCCCTATGGAGCTCTAGTCCTCTTCCAAAAGAAGAAGGATGGCAGTCTTTGCCTTTGTATCGACTATCATGCCCTGAACAAGCTCACTATACGCAATAAATACCCACTACCCATCATCACCGATCTATTTGATTGCCTCCACGGGGCCAAGTACTTTTCCAAGTTGGACTTGAGGTTTGGATACTACCAAGTGCGCATTCCAGCGGGAGACGAGCCCAAGACGACTTGTCTCACGAGATATGAGGCATTCGAATTCCTTATTATGCCCTTTGGCCTTACCAACGCCCCAGCGACGTTTTGCACCTTGATGAATCAGGTGTTCCACGAGTATCTCGACAAATTTGTGGTAGTCTACCTCGATGACATAGTAGTCTACAGTTCTTCCACGGTGGAACACCAGACCCACTTGCAGCTCGTCTTTGAGAAGTTAAGACAGAATGAGTTATACGTGAAGAGAGAGAAATGTGCGTTCGCGCAAAAACGCATCAACTTCCTGGGCCATGTGATCGAGTGCGGTCGAATTGGCATGGAAGATGGAAAGGTCAAGGCTGTCCAAGATTGGAAAGTTCCGAGTTTCATCACCGAACTGCGGTCTTTTCTCGGGTACGATTTGTCAAAGGCTTTTTGAAGAAGGCGGGACCATTAACTGAACTCTTGAAGAAGAATAATACTTTGAGTTGTACTCCAAAGTGTCAAGCAGCTTTTGATCAACTCAAGAAAGCCATGATGGAAGGGCCAGTGCTTGGTATCGCAGATGTCACCAAGCCGTTTAAGGTAGAAACTGATGCCTCAGACTTCTCCCTAGGCGGTGTTCTCTTGCAAGATGGACATCTAGTGGCGTACGAAAGCCGAAAGTTGAACGACGCGGAAAAGAGGTATGTGGCCTCTGAAAAAAAGATGTTGGCAGTAGTCCACTACCTAAGGGCCTGGAGACAATATCTCTTAGGCTCCAAGTTCGTTGTCAAAACCGACAACAGCTCGATATGCCATTTCTTCAATCAGTCGAAGTTGTCCTCGAAACAAGCCCGATGGAAGAGACCTCGCCAAATTCGACTTCCAATTCGAACATCGGCCTGGTCGATCAAACCAAGCAGCAGACGCCCTTAGTCGGAAGAGCGAACATGCGACCCTGTGCATGTTAGATTATCTGAAAGCAAGCAAGCTGACGAGGTTTGTTCGTGAAGCCATCAAGGCACACCTGAAAGACGATCCAGCAGTGCAAACCATTATTCAGCTAGTAAAAGACTGGAAGACCCGCCAGTTTTGGGTCGAAGACGACTTCCTTTTCACCAAAGGCAGTCGTCTCTATGTTCTGCGAGCAGGAAACTTGAGGAAACTCCTGATGGGAGAATGCCATGACACCATGTGGGCTGGCCACGCTGGGTGGCGTAGAACATATGCACTACTGAAGAAAGGGTACTACTAGCCGAACCTGCTAGACGACGTTATGCAATACACCAAGACGTGTCTCATCTGGCCACAAGACAAAGTCGAGAGGACTAAAATCGCGGGCTTACTGGAGCCCCTCCCAGTGCCATCAAGGCCTTGGGACAGTATATCCCTGGACGTCTTCACCCATCTGTCCAAGGTTGGAGAATCCGAAGCTATCCTTGTTATTGTCGACAGATTCTCCAAATACGCAACCTTTGTCCCAACTCCAAGATGTGTTCCGCAGAGATGACAACACAACTATTCTTCAAGAACATAGTGAAACTATGGGGTGTCCCCGAAAGCATCGTGATGTTGGGTACTCTGCCCTAAAACTCGTAGTTTGTAAATAGTGAACATTAATGTGAGGTTATTCAGACAAATGTTGTTAAATGAAAGTGAATTTGTTTTTTAATAAATCGAATAAACTACGAACCCTTGGCTATTATAATGAGTACTTGGACTTTATGTGGAGACATAAACTGGATCAAGTTCAAGTAAATAGCCTAAAGAGTTTATAGTACATGGATCAAGTTGGGTACCTTTTCCTGGAGACACTATTGAATACGACCCGCTTTATGATTGTTACAAATGTTGTAGGGTGTCATAAACGAAGTGATCCTGATTCGTTCGTGTAAAAACATGTGAGCGGGGGTGTTTTACACAATGAGATTTTGTAAGACTGACCCTGAAATAATCACTGTTACGTATTAACACCGTTTACGGTTAACATTGATTAATTTCGTTTATCGATGACCTAAATAACTTGATCTAAATCCTGAGTCATCTATGAACTCCTATTTATTCAGGATTTTCCCTTGATCTGCATAGGTGAGAGAAAGCTCATCAGCGCTGCTCAATATGCCTCCCATTTCAGGGATAAGACTGGGTAGATAGCTGGGGACATAGAATTAGCAAGACGGAATTCACTCCTACCCGATTTAGGGATAGTAGAGAGGTTTTTCCTTTAAGGGCTGATCCCGGGTCTTGAACAAGGGGCCCCATCCTCTCACTGGCCCCAGAGGAATGAGATTTAGTGATTTGATCCTAAATCAATTGTTTATTAGAGGGATAGTGGTACTTAAGGAGAAAAGATGTAACTTAGGGGTAAAACGGTTTTTTTCTTTTACCTAGCTGAGGTTACGAACGGCCTGTGAAGGATCAACTTATCGATGACGGTTATATCGAGTGGACACAAATATATCTCCAGTGAGGGGAGTGCATCTACAGGCTATAGTACAGTCCTGTTAGTTAACGAATGTTGATTAACTAAGTTAAAGAGTTTGACCGGTTAGTCTCGAATAGTTGGAGCCCATGATCTGTAGGTCCAACGGGTCTTTATGCTAGCTCATAAAGGATAAAATTGATGAACTAGGTGAAGCAAGAATTTGAAGTATTAAAATTCGGTTTTTAAGGGAATATTGTATTTTATATGAGATATAATATATAATCTAATTTACATTTAATTATTATGGAGAGTATGACTTATTTAAATTAGTTTTAAATAAGTTCAAAGCATGAAAAAGAGTTGTAATTTGATTAATGTGATTAATCAAGCTTAGGTGTCAAAGACAAATTAATATGAGATATTGATTTCGCTTGGTTTTTGTTTTAATAGAAAATTGATATTTCAATTTTTGTTTTTATAAAAATTAGTTTTATCAAAGTTTTATTTAAAAAATCAAGTTGGATTTTTCCACTAACTAGTGGTTTTTGAAGTGTTTCTTCAAGGCAATGACACCTGTCTTTTACATGCTAGTGGAGTTTGAAGTGGAAGGCATGCAAAGCATGTCTTTGCATGCATTTGGTCTTTATATAGGTGATGAAGATCACTTGGATAAGGCTAATGCTTACTTGCATGAGTGCAGAATTTTTCCACTCAAATTTCTATTGTCTTCTCCTAGCCATTAGTGTTTTCTCATTGTTTTCACTCAAAATTCGGTCCCACAACCGTGTTCATCAACCCGAGGATAGCACGGATTTGTCGTTGGTGGTCCCACTAAGTTAGGAGAAGAAGTTATAATGGAGGTCTTCAAAGGTA